GGATGATTGTGTATAGTGTAAAGCGCTTTGGGGTCCTTAGGACCAAGTAAAGCGCTATACAAATACAGACCATTTACCATTCTTCTGTTGGTGCTGCAGGTGCATCTCCATCTACCTCTGTGATCAAAAGGTCTGGAAAAGGATGCACACAAACACACAATGATGCTATAAAACTGTCATAATAAGTGCAACAACAATAACAATAGATGATTATTATCATACAGCCACCTATTAATCACTTTTTAAGGTCATCTCTGAACCTCCTCAGTGCTGGTCCGGTTTCACCATTTTGGACATCTAAATCTACCCAGGTCAGTCCAAACTGGGGGTCGAACACAGTGGCAAGGAAGTAGATCTGATGGCTAAACGGCTCTTCTGGATCCTTTTTGTCTGTGCAAATCTGCCAGAAAATTCCAGAGAACCGTTTCTCTAAGGATCTTTTCAGTGTCCTGACTATAGTTACGACCTGGGGCATTGCACTACCATCTTTATAAGATGATTCTTCAAGTCCAGAACAGTGGGGACCACCGTGCTAATAGTCACCTGATGATCACCTTCTGTAAGGTCTGTTGCCTCAGAAAAAGGCTCAAGCAAATCACAAAGGTCTTTCAGCTGAGCCCACTCTCGGGTTGAAAACACTAAATTCTCTGTATCGCTGCACATTTCAGGGATGGCCCTGTGGTCTAGTGTAATCAGAGCCTTTAACTGTCTGTAGGTCCTATTCCAGCGGGTGTTGTTTGCTGCTGGGATGGACTTATTGGAGCCAAAGTGTGACTCACACAAGTCTTTGTGGTTACTACTGCTGTGCAGCAGGGTTGTAAACTAACTGGCTTTGGCAATGGCTCTAGCTATTGCCTTTACCTATTTCATCCCATCATTGATTATGAGCTGCAGCGAGTGGGCGAAGCAAGAAAGACGTTCACCCGTTGACCATGGATCAGAATCTTCTGCATTGTTTCATCATCGAGGTTATCACTGCTGTCACCTTCAGGGTGCTCTACTTCTGGCATCCTGACTTTAACACTTAAACCCCCGCGGAGCCATCATTTTGGGTCCATCCAATATAAAGGCCTGCTTCATATTGGATGCATTATCCGTCAGAATGTAGCTTATTTTATGGCCAATGCCATACTCCTCCACTATGTTGTCAAATGCTGAGGCGATTCGTTCTTCCCTGTGAAACGCCTACATCCGTCCATCCATCTTCATCCACTTTATCCGGGGCCGGGTCGCGGGGCCAGCAGCCCAAGCAGAGATGCCCAGGCCTCCCTCTCCCCAGCCACCTCCTCCAGCTTATCTGGGGGAACACCAAGGTGTTCCCAGGCCAGCCGAGAGACATAATCTCTCCAGCGTGTCCTGGGTCTGCCCCGGGGCCTCCTCCCGGTGGGACATGCCCGGAACACCTCACCCAGGAGGTGCCCAGGAGGCATCCTTGTCAGGTGCCCGAACCACCTCAGCTGGCTCCTTTTGATGTGGAGCAGCAGCTGCTCTACTCTGAGCCCCTCACGGATGGCCGAACTTCTCACCCTACAGTCTACAGTCAAGCAAAAATGATTGTAAACTGTAAGAGTCCTTCTTCTTGCAGGCAACATGAGCGGTAACTCCCAGAAAAGACCGAAGCCTCCGGTCACACCAGAGGTCTGTTGTTATTGCTACATTTAGCTGGATTTCCAGGGCTTTGATTATGTCACCCTTCACTTTGGTGACAAGGTGATGTATCAGCTTCTCTGTCAAGGTGGTCCTAGACACAGGAGTGTATTTGCTATCCAGGACATTCAGGAAGTGTCTAAAATGTGGATTCTCAACGATAGACAGGGGAAGAGAGCATCCAACTATAAGGTCCTGGAGGGGAAAATAAGTGGATGCTTGGAGCAAACAATGATAATTGAGGCTGTGTGGGATTGACCGCTATCATTGATGTTGCAGATCCTGCTTTGTACTCCAAGTACCTACAAGACAGGGAAATAGGAATCTGTAAGATATGTGTTTCTATTCAACCACAACAAACTTCTGTATCTTACAAGCACAGTAATTTTAAACCTAGGGCAGGTCTTTGCATACAAAATAACCTAATCCAATCCAGTGTCACACATTTATAGATCATTAGGCATAGCAATAATGAAAATACTGGAGTGTTCATAGTTGCAAGACCTTAAATAACAAGAACAAAAAAACAGTTGAATGAAATCTACAAAAAAAAAAAATGTCTGTGCATTAACTTTGCATATTGCATTAAACCTCCTCATGCCAGTCAGCTATCAGACACAGCTGTATTGACAAGAAATGAACTACTCAGTAAAGTCTGAAGTTACACCAATACAAAATAACTGTGTCTAATAATGACATGCTGCAGTGGCCCCTACACACTGGACTGGTTTAGTAGGACAACATAGTAGAAAACACCTAAACCGTGATAACCACATCAAACATGATCAATTTGTCGAATCAGTCAAAGATAGTCATAGTCAAAGATCCATAAGTTCAATTTTAGAACTTCAGTTTTGCCATCCATGGTATCTGGACCAGAGCCATAGACCGCTCTGATCTGGGCTTCACTGTCGAGAATGCTGTTGTTAGCCTAGCAATGTTATGGGGCACTCTTGAAACACCCGTCCTTCCTTACGAGTCAGCAACCACATAAATATGCCCATTAAAGTCGATAACAAACCACACCATACCAGCCCTTAAAGTGCTCACTGAAATGGTTTCGATATATTTCTGCTCAATGAATTCACCAAAATACCTAAAGTGAAAACTGTTTAAGTAGCTGATAGCCACTGCTAGCGCTAGCTACCTGTACTTAGCATGTAACGTTAGTTACAATCTTCACAAGTTAAGTCTGCAGAGACGGTTGCAAAAAATCTGTCCCTAAACAATTTATACCGCTTGAAGAACACATTATAAATAACAATATTACATAAACATGACCTGGTCATCTGAGGTTGGAAAGGTGGGTAGAAGAGTTTGAAGATGCATAGATGGCTACTGGCTAGCTTACCTTTGAGGGTGTTTGCGCTCCAGGTGCCTGGTGAAGGTTGAGGTAGTCCCGGCTCGGTCAAGGAGACTTTGCAAAATCTGCATTTTGCCGAATGCTTCTCTTTTGCATTTGCCGAAAACTCTTTGTGTTCTATGAACGCAAACTTTATGAAAGACGAAGTCGCTGACATTTCTGTAACTTACTGACCGGGCATACTGCTCAATCTAATGGGTTGCATTTAGTTGTGTTTGAAGGGTGCGAAAGGCGCAATAATAATATCCCACAATGTGGAGGGATTTGAGCATGGCTGAGCCACTGTGTGTCGCTGTGTGAGAGCTGAGCAGCAAACGGAAATTAAGTGAGGAGCCGGCTCTCGCTCAATGGGAGTCGACTATTCTGATTCACTACAAAGCGCTCTCTAAGCACGGCTCTTAGAGCTAAAGCTTTTGCGCATGACACATTATCGAATGTTACGTTGTGTGTCATGGATACTGTTGACTCCAAATCTCCCGACCACTATGTTGATATGAGACAACAAGACCGAGACAGCGAGACCATGTAAAAGTGGACCGGTCTCGAGACATCCAACTGGCAACATCAGATTGTGTATGATTATTCAGAAAAACGTTAAAGGCTTTTAAGGAGAAAGAATAAAATATTAGGATGCTTTGAAATATGAAACAGTGGTCTTGGTGGGTATTTTCATCAGGAACAAAGTGCTAGTCACTCAGAATGTCTCTGTCAGGCACCCCTGAGTTTCTCAGGCCCCTAGTTTACCATTTGATTAACCCTGACCTCTGAGAATAAACCTTCAGTCAGAATTTCCACAGTAACAACTGGGAGTGCTGCTCCATCTAGCCTAAACAAACACAGAGTAACCACTGCAGGCACCTGTCACTCATGAAATGCCACCATCCTCTAACCTGTAGTTTACCTCCAGTACTTAAGAAAACCGTGACTGTAATACGAGGAGATGTGAGGAGTCAGCTGCTGTTCTCTTGGCCAAGTCCAGTGGAGCTGAATGGAACCTGTTTTCACTGGATGAGCGACTAGTCTCCC